GAACATGGAGTCCCATTCTGTCTCTGCAAGCTTTTTAGTTTTAATGAGGAGGGCAGAGATCTTAGCGAATTTCTGCTGGTATTCTCCAAGGTTGTCCTGGTTTTACATAGGCTTGGACTGGTATTCTTTGATGAGGTACTGCAAGTCTGTGCAGCAGTAGCAGTTGTCACCCTTGCAGCCAGGGTACAAGCCCTTAACAGCAACTATGAAGGCATCCCAGTCATCAGCTGTAGGTGTGGCTTCCAGAAGTGTTTGCCAGACCTTGGCTTCTTCCAGGTCAGCATAGTGGATTGCAGCTCTGATCTTGCCATGGTCATCAAGGGCAGTGAGAGTACCAAGGAAGTTGATGACTTTGAGGTATTGCAGGAGCTGCATGGGGGAATCTCTGCTAAATTTAGGTGAGTTTTGTGTACCACAGAGTGGCATCTGAAACTGAGGATTAGCCATTGGTGGGTTAACCTGTGGTGGCAGCACCAGATTGGTAATGGGTGGAACAGGTATTGGTTGCAGATGTGGAGTGGTTGGTATAGTGCACAAGTGGACTGGTGGAAGTGTTGGCAGGTTACTAATTGGCTGATGGGTGGTCTGTGACTGAGTGAGTGGTCATGGCAGTGTGGCAGATGGATCTGAGAGTCTGGGTATAGATTTGGAGGCATCAAAGAGATGGGAAAGAGAGGGCATTGGTGATGATGAATCAGATGATGTGACAGGTGTTAAAGGTGATGGCAGGGTTTTGGGTCTTCAGGGAGTCGAGTGGATAAAGCCACCAGGAAGGTCAGGGGCAGTGAGATCTAGGTGATCCAGCATGATGGATATCTGATCTGCTGAAATATCAGGAGGAGTGATTGTGGGTAGTACCCATGGAATGTCAGCAGGTAATTGTGCATGATCCAGTGTTATGGGTGAAACAGGGTGGAAGAGGTTAGAGTCTTCTGATAGGTTGAGGTTGCAAAAGTGCAGGCATGAATTTTCTAGTTTGGTGCATTCAGCAGTGTGCCTGAGCAACCTTCTGGAAGTAACAGCAGAATCCCTTGCAGTGGGCTCCAGTTGTAGGAAAAGTCCAAGTAGCTGTATAATATGAGCTAGATGGCTTAGATAACAACAATAAAAATGAAGAGAATGAATTGCTAATCCAAAGGGATTCTGGACTGCTGAGACTAGATGGTGAGACCCTGCACATTGTAGCAATAGCAATTTGTGACATGTGTGGCATGGTCCACAGCATAGTACTGGCAATGTGAGCAGTGTGAGTGGTGTGCATAGTTTGTGTGTGGCAGTATGTGGAACATGCAGTGTAGACAAAGTGGAAAAGAAACTTGTGTTGACCTTCTGAGTGCCAAAAGGTCCCATTCTGTACCTAAGTACAGGGCTTTATAGTCTGGGAAAACCCAGAACCTAAGTAAGACAAGGTACAAGTAGAGGAAGGCCATGTGACAGTGTGTACATACAAGACAGGCCTGAACAGAGGCTGCAGGTATACTACTAACAAAAAGGGAACAGAGACTGTGTTAAAAGAAAGAGTCTGAAGGAAGGGAAGTGACCAAAGCACAGTGGCCACACGAGAGGAGTGAGGGCATGGGAATGTAGCACATGAACAATGGTGGATATGAGCAGCAAAGGGATGTAATGGTAGTCATGGAATGGTCAATGATAGGGGCTTATGCATCCAGGGAATGTGGATTCCCTACACTGGACTTCTCTTACTGGTGTTGCCAAATCCTCTGTCATTTACAGAGGTTGCTGTAGCTGTTGCTTCAGTAGAAACCATTAGCCTGCAGCTGAGCTCAACCTATGTCTCAACTTCAGTCAAGCATAACAAGTGCTGTAGAAATGTGTGGAGTATGAGGATCTTTCCCAATTTTGGAAGGTAGGATTGTGTGGCTGAGCACTATAAGCAAGTGTGGGAATGGTGTTGGTATCTGTGGAAATGGGGGAGATACATCAAAAACTGGAATGCTGTACATGGGTGCTAAGAACTTTTATAGGCACTTAACCTGCTTCCTTCTCTTTTCTTTGGCAATGATGACTCATTCTTGTGTGAAGGATGACTGCCAACATTCCTGGATGTCTTTCTTCACATTAGGGCTCTAGTCTTGCATCTCCATTCATCAGCATTATCTATGTCCAAGTCACCAAACACCTTTGGTGTGTGACACTGGTTGGTTTCCCATGGTCCCAGTCTTATTCCTGTGCTCCCAGCCTTGACTCCAGACCTCTGGACTTGGCCCCTGACTTCTGGCCTTGACTCTGGTCAACTGGACTTAGCCCCCATCACCTGGACTTGAAGCCCAGTCACCTGAGGGTAAACCTATACTTGACACTGCTACCCAGATGCAAAATGAAGAGATTAGAGCACAACTACTTGATGAGATGGATTCAGAGCTCACCAGTTGGACAGATACATCATCTAACTCTTCCCCTAGCCCACTGAGCCTGATGATCATTTCCCCTGTCTTCCTGGAATCACCAATCCTTTCAGCATGGGATCCATGTCAGTTGACTCAGAATCAGCATCTACTCAGGAAAAAGGGGACTTTGCTATAGGTGGTTTTTTTTGCTTCTTTTGGCCCTTTTTTTGCCATTTTTCAGTTATAAAGTGACAAATGATGACAAAAAGTGCTGAAAGACCACTTCAGTCACCCCCCCAGGGGACCTATTAGGTTCATATATTCTTATAGATGTATCCACCTAATAGGTGTTGACCACCTGGGTATTCTCAGTGACTGCTGGAGATTCACCAGGCCCTGGAGATTCTCCAGAGCAAGGTGTCAGACATGGAATTTCTCCAGGATTATTACATCTATAACAGAGTGCCTGGCGTCCAAATGGGGCTTTCCCCAGTGGGTTAATAGACCTATGTCCTGAGTATCCTGGGGGATTCTCCAGCCTAAATGGACCTGTTGTCTGGGCAGCCTGGGGGATTCCCCAGCATAAATGGACCTGTTCTCAGGGCATGCTGGGGGATTCCCCAGCCCAAATGGACCTGTTCTCTGGGCATGCTGGGGGATTCTCCAGCCTAAATGGACCTGTTCTCTGGGCATGCTGGGGGATTCCCCAGCCTAAATGGACCTGTTCCCAGTGCATCCTGGGGGTTTCCCCAGCCTGAATGGACCAGGTCCCAGGGCATCCAGCCCAAAAAGACCTATTCCAAGATGATCATGGGAACCTCCAGTTCAAATAGACCACCATCACAGCATGAAGGATCAATCAAAATGATTTGGAGTCTCCATGTTGCTGACAGGAGTGTGTATCATGCCAAGTACCTATTTCCATGGCATCTGATCTGAGCACTCTATACAATATGTGAAAAAGCATGGCCATAGACCACTAAGGAAAGATTGGTGACATCTGATGGAGGGAGTAGAATATACTTGGTGATGGTGATTGCCCAGGCACAGCAGACATACTTTCACCATGCTTCCCAAGGCTTCAGTGATCTCCAGTCTTGGCCATTGCATACAAGTCAAAGATTGTCCAGGTCTTAATGGAATTTTCCCACTGACTCTGGGGATCCACAGGGTATGCAGCAGATCCTCCAGGAAATGCTTGGAATTTCCCAGCTAACTCTTGTCTCTAGAGGCTCTCCAAGCAATGCTGGGGATTCTCCCACCCACTCTGCAGATTCTCCAAGCTATGTCCTGGGGATTCTCCAAGCACTGCTGGGGATTCTCCAAGTGCTACTGAGGATTCTCCAACTGACTCTGGGGATTCTCCAGGCAATGCTGGGGATTCTCCAACCCACTCTGGGGATTCTCCAAGCACTGCTGGGGATTCTCCAGGCAATACTGGGGATTCTCCAGGCAATGCTGGGGATTCCCCAACCCACTCTGGAGATTCTCCAAGCACTGCTGGGGATTCTCCAAGTTATGTCCAGGGGATTCTCTAACCAACTCTGGCATGTCTATGTTGGTAGCTACTGAGAACTCTTCCCCCTGAAGCCTAGGGCAGAGCCCCATTCCCTTCACATGGACATCATAGCTCTAGTGGATGTCTGGTTCCATGGATTTCACATTCCTATCTCATGCATAGCAGTTTGTGCCCAAATACAATCTGTATTTATGATAGGGTATGCTATCAGATTGAATATGCATAGGCATGAGGAGAAAATGAATGGTCTTGTAAGGGTATTGTAGTTACAATGGTAACAAAAAGACCATGGTGGATAATGGACAAAATGAATGATGGCAGACATTACACAAAGGAAGGATATGCAGGGGGAAGATGATACAGCCACAGGGTATCATAGTTACATGTTAACAATGCAAACATGTTGAACTGGAGTGTACATGAGCCAGTAGCAAGTGATTGATCAAGATGAAAACATGCCTAGTAGTGGTTGCATCAATCATGGGTGTGATGGGAATGTCCATCAGAGTCATCAGAGTCATGATGATGATGTCTCTTGTGGGGAGGGCTTTGATAAATGTATTCAACCACACTGTGCATGTTAGTCTCATTGTACATGTAGGCCACCCAGCAACATGCCTTCAGTGAGTTCTTCCCTGTTGTGAAGGACCACCATGACCACTCTCATTGTCCTGATATCCTCTATAGCACTTGTGTGACTCATGCTGAGGGTGGTGGCAAGGATGTGGGGTCAGAGAGTAGTTATTAGAAGGGGGGTGATGATGATATGCAGCTGCTGGAGCAAGATATGTGTGATGATCACCATGTGATGATGGACCTTGTGGAGATGACCACAGTGACTCCTCAACAGGGGATGAAGGAGGGAGAGGGGAGTGGTGGGATGCTGGCTGAGTGGAACAAGGTCCATAGGATGGCAATTGCCCTCGCCTCAGGTGGTGTGATCCTGCAGGAGAGGGGTGATGTGTGCAGGATGGTGATTGCTGTCATTGGGTGTGGTGGGATGTTGAGGGAGACACATGGCACCACACAGGTGGCTGGGGTAATCTATAAGCTGGGGATAAAGAAGGCACAGTCATATGGTGGGTGTTGGATGCTGCTGGCAAGGGGTGACATCTGTTGGATGGCACTTGTCCTCACACAGGTTGGTCAGGGAAAGATGAAGGGGCACTTCTCTCCTTAAACTTGTCACCTTTAGGGAGGGCCTTAACAAATGCATCTGAATCAGAAAGAACACAGAGGTGCCAGTTCAATGTGTTCACCACAAGCAGGATGTCACACATCCTTGCATCACTGTGGTGAAATAGCTCAATCTGATCTGGATTATTCATGTCAGTGAGGGCGACCATTTCATGTCAACAACTCACCATCAGTCCACTTCTTGAGGTAAAATGATGAATTCAGCAAAGGGACAAGGTATTCAGCTTGGTCTTCATCATCTAGTGGAGCCTCAGCATGGTAATCTGCACCCATTGACTCTTTCAGGAAAGGAACAGTCAGAGCATGAAGTTCATCAGCATTGAGGCATTTGACATTGAAATCTGGACCAACAGCAGGGACTCCAGCAGGCCAATCAGTGATGGTACACTGGTGAACATACAGCAGATCAAGCAACAACTTCCAAGAAACATTTCTCTGGCCTTGTTTGATACCATTCTCTTCTGTGGCAGCACTTCAGAGGATGAATATGAATCAAATAGATTTATTGACATATGCAATTTATGGAGTATGATTGTAGGTAAAACTTGCCAATTGTGATCACACCTGTATTCTTGAGGTTTTAATCCCAGTGCATGGTCATAATGGGGTTGTGACAGCACATTAAAGTCAGGAAGAGGCACCAAAGCAGCAGAGTTAAGGATTTTATACCTAAAGAAAAGTCAGTGGGCCATTGTACATGGCATATGTTATACATACTTGATAATTGTGGACAGGTATTCTAATAATTGTGTTATGTTGGTCTGCCTCTCACTCACAAGCTGCATGAGAAGGGAGGATCCAGCAAAGATTCCTTGGGATTGGCATGCAGCTTCATCACTCCCACTATAAATTACACATCTGAAGACATGTATGCCCTCCACATTGCACCAAGTTTGTGCCTGTACAAGAAGTTATTCAAGAAGCAAACAATCACAATGGTATTACCCACCCCTTGTGTAAAGGAGCCACAGCAAGCCATTACATGGCCCACCATTGCCTTGGAACTGATGTCTTTGGACCCACTGACACACTCACTCCAATACTTCTGGATCTCAGCCCACAGTTGAGGATGTTCATCCTCATCTTTATGGTCCTCATAGTGCTTGGTGTGATGCCTACAGTAGTCTTTGGTTTCCTCTGCAATTGAATCAACATGGAGTCAAAACTGCAACAAGTTAGGATGTACTGACCTGCAGATGCTTTTGGATTGGTATGTGCATACCAAGCCTGATGCATGTTCCACACAGATTCAGCATGAGTTGCCTTTGTGGTAAGACCAGCAGCAGCCATGATTGACCCAAGAGTCTTGCCATACTCATCTGCAATCACCTGGGCTTCTTGAGTGGTGTGCATGCCAAGTGCCTGTGCCTTTTGTATGGCTTCCAAGGGAAGCTGCCCTGGTTTGAAGCACAGTAAGCCTGCTTCTGCACTGGATGCATCCTCGCATTGACTGAGGTCACTGGCTAGGGTAGGTGCAGAGGGTGTGACTACTACCTTGCAGAAGGCACAATGTCATCCTTCAGGTTTCCTATGCATCCCAGTCATCTCCAAGCCATTGGGGAGGTCTCCAGTGTCTCTAGGTCCATCCTCATCTTCAGAGGATGTGTTGGCTAGGGCACAAGATTTCCCTTTGGCTTCCCTATGCCTCCTGGTCACAGAGCTGTCAGTGTTGCCTTCAGTATCAGCAGCTCCATCTTCTTCTTCTGATGAGGATGGAGAAGGGAGAGGGAGTGTGGAAGGATGGTTATCAGTATCATAATTGCCAGCACAGATTTCTCTCAGGGTTTGTTTGCATTTAAGGTCACACCTCTGGTCAGCTGACCAATCACTGTCTATTCAATGACACATGTAAATTATGTGAATAATGCAGTTTAATCAAATAAACAAACCTGATGCACTTTCATGCTCAACATCATCATGTTGAACAGAGTCCATCATATTTTCAACAGCTTGGTGACCATCATGATCCACCAGGTTCTCTGAGACCAGATCACCTTCAGCTTGCACCATAATCTCAACAGCTTGTTCATCCTCTTCACTGTCATTGGGGGTAACAGCTGGTGGCAACCTTGAGAAGGAATACAGCTACATACATAGATCACACACTTACACTTTTCATGACCCTGCTCAGCAACTATATCTTCCATAGAAATGATGCCCAATCATAGCTGCTCAAGGGCAACAGTGCAGTCAAGCTTCATACTGTTCTGGAGTGTAACCTGTCTCATCTGGAAGGAGTCAAGGTACTGATCCTCGCATTCTTTCTCTGCCAACCCTTGTGAAGAATTGTGACTGGAGTGCAGTTGGAGAGGGGGACATCGAGCTACAGAGCTGGATTTGCAGTTCTGAAAACAGTGGTCAGTAAGCAAAAAAAAAAAAAAAAGGTAGCACTACACACTGGGCACTCCTCACCACCATCCCCTGACATTGGCTCGTGTGTTTCAGAAATTGTATCCTGATTTCTGCCTCATGCTGATGGAAAGAGTTGAGACAGTAGTACACAAGACACAGGAAGTAGGTCTGTGCTCACATTTGACTACCTGGTGACAGGCCTTTGCACCACATGAAGGTTGGGCTTTGGTGGGTGAAGTGATGGTAGGATTGACTCTCTTTGACCTCCAGTGTAGGGAGTGGTATACTCCCTGAGGCCAAAATAGGGATGCCAACACCAAAATTCTGCTGTTACCAAAGTTGACCCCTATCAGAGTTCCACATCTGTCATCTTCAGAATTATTGCATCAGCCTCATGTGCTGCCTTGCCTGTCAAACCTTCAGAGCTCCCTTGTCTGTCAGTAATGCACACCAGTCATCATCCCAGAATTCCATGTCAACATCAACCTGACATATGTCTATCTGGAATTCCACAGTTGTGTTGCCTCATCCTTCACCTTGCCATGTAGCTGGGAAATCATGCAGATCATCAGTAATAAACTCCAGTTACCCCTCTCGTTCCTTTCCCATGAATCCTTTGCCACAATGTGAGAACCCCTTTGCATCTACGGCCTCTATCCTTCATGTATGCTACTCTATGGTACATGGTATGCTTGTTCTGTTGAAAGATACCTGTCTTTCCCTTTTGTTTCTCTCAGTTACTGCTTTTCAGTTTGTTTTCACATGATTCTGTAGTGTGTTGACATCTGTCACATCTCCCTTTATTTTTCGGAATTTTTACTTCACCCACCCCACAATATCCCAATCAGTACCTTACTCTCCATGTACTATATAATTCTGCCTCAGCAACAGAAAAATACCACCCATCTTTTGGAGTCACTATCCAAGTCATTCATGTGTCTAGGTGTTCAAAGTGTCTGCTGTGTCCTCTGTGTCTACTGTGTCATCTGTGTTTCTAGCATCAATCTGTGTCTACTGTGTCTTTCATGTCCCCTGCATATTTGTGTCTCGCCTTCCTCATGCCAAGATCATCACTTGGAATTTTGTAAACAAGTCTATTCAGACCCAAATTATCTACAACACTGTGGAATTAAATTCCATGCCCTACATTCAACTTCCTGATTGACTCTACCATCAAATTCTATGTCTCCTTCCTACTCAGCACCCCTTGGGTCAAGCCTAGGGATTACCCTACAGCTTTCCCCCTAATCACATGCTACCTGGAGGTAGTGTCCCACACTGGGCACCAACAGGGGGACCAACTTTGAAAGTAACAGCAGATGACCTAGTTGCAGGCATGATGAATTTGACCTGGTAGACACATAGTCAAACTGTGGGCCAGTGGAACTGTGGAACACATAGTCACCACACACTCTTTTCTGATGCAAAATCAAGCAAGATGGAAAGGAAAAGATGTTCAGGTAAGGAATGACTGGGTAAGGAAAGACTGGGTTCAGGCCAAACATTGGTTAGTGGATGATTTATGATCTTGCACAAAGGGTTACACACCTGATTTGAAGTGAGTGAAGAAAAGAAGGCAAGGAAGAAGAGAAAACAGAGGATGAAATGTTCACTACTGAGCTATTTATTTGGTCCCAGAAGAAGCCTACACACCTAATTCACACTAGCACCCTCACTTCCTTCTAGCTTGCACAATCCTATTGAGAAGGGTCAATTGAATGGAAATCTGGCATTCAGGGCAGAGGAAAAATGCAGCATGTCAACCAATAGAGTAGGACTGTCATTGTCATTGTGAGCAGAAGATATAATAAAAACAAAAAGTTGATGTCAAACCTACAGACAGCAGCTCAAGGGTGATATATTCTTTTGACAAATAACCATGGTAGGTGTCAGTGAACAGTTGATAACAATACAGGTACCTTGGAATATGGATGAGATCACTACAAGAAATTAGGTTCAGGGTTGACATCTATTTCTATTTCATAACATTTGTAGATTCAACAAAAAGATTTAAACATACCTCCTTGGATAACAGTACCAGATGGAGTGGGTAAGGAATGAGACAAGTGCCAATGAACAGGATAATGTATACCTGGTAACTAGAGCAGGTATATTCTTAGATCCAACAAACAGAGACCACTACACATACCTGATGACAATGGTGAACAAAGTTGACAATGATATGGGTACTTTGGACCACATACAGCACAGAATTGGTGAGGAATGGAAGGAGATCATTACCAGAACCTCAGTTCTGGGAGCATTGACATCAAACTTTATTTCTGCAGTGATTGACAGGTGCTAGCAAATGAGATGGGTACCTAGGGATTATGAGAGGCTGACTGCATTCGTAAATCAATGTGAACAGACCACAAGACATACCTGATAACTGCAGTAACTGTAGATCAAGAGTATGTAATGATATCCATAGCTCAGACTATGATAGCAGTTGGCCAAGTGAAGAATGAGGCAAGCACCAACTAACAAGATGATACCTAGATATTAGAGAGGGTGATCAGATTCATAAATCTAACAAAAAGAGACTGACACATACCTGATAGTGATGATAAGTCAGCCCAACACCTGATGACAATAGATGTACCTCTGACTGCAATACAACAAGGAGTGGGTGAGTGAGGAATGAGGTGAGCACTGATAGAGATAATTTATACCTAGATATTAAAGAACACAATCAGATTTGTAGGTCCAATGAAATGCAAAGGTAGGACATACCTCATAACAATGATAAGTGAGGATCGACAGTCAATAACTATGTATCTACCACAGACTGCATTTCAACATGAAGTGGGTAGGTGCAGAATGAGGTGAGTGGTTGAGTGGAGATGAATGAGATAACTTATACCTAGATATTAAAGAGCATGATCAGATTTGTAAGTTCAACAAAAAGCGACAGTAGCACATACCTTATAATAATGATAAGCAGGGATCAACAGCTGATAACAATACACCTACTGCAGACTGCAATAGAGCACAGAGTGGGTGGGTGAGGGACACAACAGGTATGGACAAATGAAATGATTTAAATCTCATAGCTGATAACAAGAGTTGCAACAAGTACAGATTTGAACAAGATGATTGAAACCTCACACCTGATAACAATAATGAGTCAGGATCAACATCTGCTAACAATAGACATACCTCAGACAGCAATACTAGGCAGAGTGACAGTGACCCAGGAGAGAAACGAGATCAGCACTAATGAATGAACATAGGTGTTTAGAATCAGCTGGAGGGAATACTGCTATAAAACATACCTTTGCAAGCAGGAAGGAGAGGATCTGGGGTGAAGGGCAAGATGAACTCCTTGAGGTCTTGAACCCCACTAGCAGCATGGTGGTGCTGGGGCAACCTCAGTGATGCAAACTCAACAGAGTATGAACTGCAGTGACACAAAGTCAGCTGCAGCTCTGAGTGAGCAGCATGGAGCCAGCTCAGGTTCAGCCAATGTGTCCAAACTTGAAGCATAGAGGTGGCAAGCAGGAAGACAATGACAGGGAGGTGAGAGGATGACAGTTGCTTGTAACAAAGCATGGAGCTGCTGGGCACTGTGCAATTGGAACACAGTCCTGTGCCTTAGGTATTTTTGCCCTGGGAATTCTCCAGGCTATCACATCAAACATTGCTATCAATATATGTACATAAGCATAATAGGTAAATCCCTACAAACAAACAAATACTTATGATTTTCTGACTGCAACTACTCTTCATCCTACTACCCTTGCCTTCCTCACTTTGTCACTCAGTGCCTCTGCTCTCAAGGTCTCAAGTCCCTCCCCACCATGTGTGTCTTCTCCCATTGGGTTCGAGTTGGCTTCATGCTGCTCATCTTGACCTGAAGTTGACTTTGTGTCACTTTAGGTCACACTCTGTTGACTTTATGTCACTGAGGTCACCCCAGCACCACTGCACTGCTAGTGGGGTTCAAGACTTTGAGGAGTTTGTCTTGCCCTCTACCCCAGATCCTCTCCTGCCATTGTCCTTCCATTACTTTCTTGTATAAGGTGCATGTTCTATACATGCTATTCACCCCATCATTCACCCTGTCATTCATTTCATTATTCACCCTGCCATTCATTTCATCATTCACCCTGCTGTTCACTTCATCATTCACCCTGCTGTTCACCCCATTGTTCACCCTGCCATTCTTCCTGGATCATCTTCTACCACTGTTGTGTTCTTATTTTCTTTCATAAAAAGTGTGTGTCAATTACATGCCATTCACACCATTGTTTACCAAACCCTTTGCCCCAGACCTTCTCCTACCACTGTCATACTCTTATATTCTTTTATAAAGGTGCGTGTTGTTTACATGCCATTTTCCCCATCATTCACCCTGCCCTTTATCCTGGACCCTCTCCCACCACCAACATTTGTTTGCTTTCTTTCACAAAGGTGAGTATTTAATTACATGCCTTTCACCCTGTCACCAACTAATCTACACATGATCTGTCTGTTATTCCTTGCAGCTCAATTCCAACACAAGCAAAAATGTCCTGGGGGACTGCACTTACCTGCTTCAAAGTGTTCACTCAGCCTGGTGATGGTATGTTCCTCTACTTTTGTGTTTTCCCAGAGCTTACTTACCATCCACAGCTAAAATTACATCACTGGATGCATGAGTGGTCGCATGCAAGGACTGCTGGGTTATCACATTGCCCAATGCAGACTTTGTTCCAGAGCCATACATTTTTGAAGAAATCAATCTTTGTCTGCATGCTGACAGTCAGTTCAGCCTTGTCAATTGCTTCCAATGGCCTCAAACATACGAAAAAACTATGAATATGCTGTTTGCATACCTCAAAAAAATACAGTCCCTACTCTCAATATTGCTTGGTTCACTCTGACATCTGCAGATTTTGTCCTTCCACTTGGCTCTGTGTATCTGGTGGGAATGCTTGAAGAGGCAAAGGTCAAGGCCTTTGAAGAACTACTTTAGCAACTGTGCAGCCACTATCACCCCCTCCACAATTGACCTGTGGGTCAAGACCTTATGACCCAACTAGTGCAGTTGGTTCAACACAAGGTTTTGTGCTTGCAGCATCACCCCCTTTTATTCCGAGACCTTGTCATTTTTGTTGCCCAGCTTCAATGCAAGCTGCTTGACATTTACACTTTGCTCAAATACATTGAGATCCTCTACCCACTTCTTTTGTCTCCCCACTCAAAACTTGTATGCACAAACCCCACCTGGATGGGGTGCTTCACAAAGGATACTGCCACTTGCAAAGCACTATATTTCACTGAGGTGCCAGTCTGGCTCATGTGTACCAATGCATACATCTCCCCTGATATGAATATCAAGGAGCCTGTGAGATTGACATGCCCTGAAGACATAGTGAAAGCTATGTATTTGGAAAAGGGGTAGCTAAGCCATTCCCATCAATCTACTGTGGTCCTGGCAGTCTCCTGTGCCACATTCACACTCACAGGGACTATGAGGGTACATTCACAGAGCAACCAGAGCCCCTGCAAGAATCATTTTCCACATCCTTGTCAAACCCATCTTCAAGCACTGGGAAGCAATCAACAAAAGAGCAGACAAGGGCTGCCAGGGAACAAGTGACTGCAGGCCCCTCCAGAGGTATGTACCCTAATTTTCTTTCTGCTTGTTCCTGACCAACTTGTAGCTTTGCACCCCAAACAATCAGGTGGTGGGGACTCAGTGAGGTGGGAAGAGCCTGATCTTCCAGAAATTCCTAAGCCCCACAGTCTGTTTGCATTGGCTTGGAGGAAAGCTTCAAAGAATATGTATATGTCCAGAGTCAAGTCAGGCATTGTGGACCCTGGTTATTGCTTTCTGAAGCCCATGCTGTTGGTCAATGTCACCACCCCTGAACAAAAGAAGATGTACATGTTGAATTGGCTCTCTGCTCATCCAGCTTGGATGAATTGAGTTGACATTTGGTCTCTGCAGAAGAACTCTTCCCCTCAGATGTGGAGGGACTTCCTCAACAGTACTGACACAGAGCACTTGCCCTCTGGCACCCAGAGTGCATCCACGAAGTTGGTGGTTCAGGTGATTTTGGGGGACATCATTCAAGCAGCTCATGATGATCCTGTTTGTATGTTGGAAGAGATTGAGTGGAGGGGAATGCAGGTTAGTATTTCATCCTATTTAGATCTGTTCTTCATACTTATCTTGTGCAGGTCCAGGCTTCGAGCCTTTCAGACCCACCCCTTCATTTCACATGTTCCCTTCTATGGGAACTCTACAAACTCAACTTCCACTATGAACTTTGCACACTTGATCAGGCCCTTGTCCCACAGCTTTGGCCTGATAGCCTAGATAAGTATATGCACCAATCACTTCTTTGGTCTACCTTCCCTGGTGGATGTGGTCTTTCAAGTTGGTTGGCACCTCTTCCTTGGGAGCCATGTGATTTGGGGTTGACTGCTAGTGAGATGGAGGTGGCATTGCCCTATCTGAACAAGTTCTGTCAGTTGCTATCTGCATGGCCAGGAGCACCCTTTTGTTTGAAGTCCCCAATTGAGCTGGATGGCTCTGGCAACCAAGCAGCATATGAAGCCTTTATCTTGGCTTGCAAATTCTACATCCAAACTGCATTTGATTATCTTGGGCATCAACCATCCCTCCCCTGCATTTTTACCTTTGTCTGACATCCTCTGCTGCATATACTTTTTTTTCTGTCCAAATTTGTTTAGTATGAGTATGTACCATGTTGTAAAGCAGGCTGAATCAATTCAATGATTCAGAATGTTGCCTGTGACTGAACCTTAATCTCACACTTTGTGCTCACTGCTTTTTTTTTTGTTGATAGCAATGTGTTATTCACTGACACTCCCACTGCCAGGCAAGGAATGTTCCCATCCCCTTCACTGCTATTGATGCTTTATCTGCATCAAGGTCTGCACCATTTAATTCTTTGAGACTTGTTCTGCTTGGTATGTATGACATCTTGATGATGGGGTTCCTGCTCACTGTGATGTTGATAGTGACTTTTGTTTTTAACTGCTCAAGACTTGTGCTCTGGTAAGTAGGATCCTACTTGGCTGTATGTGGTGATCTGACAAATTTTCTGTGTAGTTTTTCCCTTCCAGAGGTTCATCATCTGGTCAAAATCCCCTTGGACTGACACCCCCTGCTGACTTTGTGTCATGCTTTCCACCACCTGTTGACTTTGAGTCCCAGGTGTACTGCCATTGGCTTTGTGTTGCAGTTTCCAGAACAATCTGAGATGGCTGTTTGCCATCCAAAGCCTTGGAGGCATCACAATGCTTTGCCTTCTATGAGTAATTCTAATATTGTGAGTTTTCCCTGTCTTCAAGCCTCATGTTGTGCTCATCAGTTCTCTACAGGCCTCCTCTGCTTCATCTGTCCAAGCTGGTCTGGTACCCAGTGTACTCACTGACCATCCTTCATCTTTGTCTGGTAATGAGCCATCACTTTGTACTTCTGGCCCTTCAGTGTGTGCAATTTCATTATGGTATTCTTCATATCATCTTAGCTCCCCTACAGGTCTTATCAATGTTGTCTGCCTCAACCAACTGGCTGCCTGATGTAGCCACTCTGTCATCAAACAATCAAGTGTCACTTGGTATACCTGCCCCTTCAGTATGTTCTGATCCTATGTCTAAGAGGTTATATGTGTTTATTTTTGGGTAGAATATGACACAGTCATTGTTTGTCCCTCCTCCCCTAGCTCATCAATGCTGCCCTTTTGGTACAAAAGTGCTGTACCTCCCTGCTCCTCCACCTGTCTGTGTACTTCCAGGCTGCCAATGCCATGCTCAAGATACTGCTGCAATGCCACATCGCCCTCAGCACCAACCTGTTGATGTCTTCAATGCTGTGAATGAGCTTGAACTCAGTGAGATTGGCTTGCCTTCATGTCTGAGTGGTTCACAGAAGCACAAGAACCAATGGTGATGGTGGTCACAAGATATCATTCTGGCACTTCTCAAGCCCTACATGTGCTATCTCAAGGCATCCCAATCCCTCCACATGGTGGTAGACCCCCCAGTCATCCATTGATGTTGCACTTGCACAGTGTATCAACTCACTGTTTGCTGTCTCTTCTTTGACTGTATGTGACCCTTTTGTTGTTTGCTCTTGTGATGCTCATGTATACCCAGGTTTGAAGGACATCAGGATAAGCTACTGTGCATGCACCCCAGCTCCTATATGCCTCATGGTCCATGAGTTATTTTCATCATCTCCTGTGGTACCTACTCTGGCAGTTGACCTTCATGTACTGGAGTTTGTAAAGAAGCTCTTTGTCTGGCTAACCCCAAACACAACTGCATGGTGTGAAGCACTTGAAAGCTTCCTGGATGGTCAAGGGTATAGACTGCAGTTCAAGATATGTTCTTTTCCAAACACCATCACTGGATCTCTGCCTTTGTCTTCACATCCACCCCATATGCTACTTGTATTGGTATATCATCATGGTTTGAATGTACATGTACCCACACACATATCTCTGGTGTAATGATGGGTGCTTATTCAAATAATCAGGACAATCTCTGGCAGTGTTTCAGTAATGCTTATCATTGGTGTTCTGTATTGACAATATATGTGGAGGACCATATTTCTGCTATGGTCTGGTCCTTTCACCCAAACTCCATGCCACAGCAAGATAGCCCCTGGCCAAGTGACTACCTATGTGCTTGCTGTCCTCTTTGCTTTTGGGGAGGTGACTTACAGAACTCTAACCCTCCTCAGGATGAGTGAGTCAATGACAAGCTCATTGTTGCTGACTAGATGACTGAGACCCAATAGATTTGACTGCATTGTCTGCTTAGATGCATGTTTCACTCAGAAGAGAACCAACAAATCTGCCACTGATGACCCTCCCAATCCCACCAGCACTGTATTCATCCCTGAGTCAGAGGTGAAGGCCATGGAGGTTTTCATTGAGAAACAGAGATCCCTCCCAACCAGTCAACATCATTCTCAGACTCAAAACCAGCAAGACAGGTTGGAGGATGGAATGAGGGTACCTGCCTCTGTGTTGGATAGGTGTGGAGGTTCTTTCCATGCAGCAGATGAGAAGAGGCAAAAAGCCAGCACACAATCTTTTGCAGATACAGGGCTTATGGCTTTGTTGTGTTGTCATGATTGTGTCCTCTGGTCAGTTAATATGACATCAGCAGGGGAAAAGCAGCACTATGCCCTAGTGCTGGTGAAACATCTCTTTGACCATCTCCCTGCCAAGATGACTGTTGGCCTCTTATATGATATTGGTTGTCAATTGGAGCATAGCTGTCAAAAGTGGAAAATCCTTGATGATGGGATACTCTCCAGGTTGAAGTTTGGTATTTCTGTCTTCCATGCTTATGGTCATCAATGGCCATGCCAATTGGTATATCACCCATGTAAATGTGTAGGCTTTGGCTTGTCAGATGGTGAGGGGTGTGAGTGACTATGGAGTGCCCTAAAAATGCTTATTCCAACTCTTCAAGTATCTGAGGTAAGCATTGACTCTTCAAATATAATTCCAGTGCTCATTTTACCCTTAGTATCATCAGAAATTATTTGTCCTTGACAATCAAATTCAACACTTGGACAAGAAGTCTTTTGATGCATTTGGCCAGTGGCTGAGCAGGAAATGGTCCCTCTGCAAAAGTAGGAAATTGGTGGCTTTGGAGGCTCTTCATGCTCTGCATGTTGACATGCAGACTCTACAGCATGAGTGGGCTGCACAAGTACATGCACAAACTCAACTTCTACCTCATTAGTCTGTTCCCTTTGTGTGTATGTGATCATATGACTCACCAACCTGTAGGTCAGTCAAAGAACAAGGGTTCTGAACAGTTGGCACATGTTCTTGCTCTGGAGAAAACAGTTGAGGACTATCAGTGCCATGTGGATCAGTTAGAGAAGGATCTTGTTGATGATTGTGTCAATGACATTGTTGACTACAATCTACAACTTGCTGCAGCAAAAAGGTCACTGTCAAAGGCAGCCCAGGCCCTCAAGAAGACAAAGGCTTCATTGGGACTTTCTGCCCAAACTGACCTTCATCTGCTGAGGAACAACAAGTGGCTCCAAACACAAACAAATGCACAAGCACTTAAGGTTTGGATAAGGGAACAACTTCATCAGCGCAAGTTTGAGTTCCAGCAACTACAATGGTCATATGGGACCTCTTCCAGTAGTGAGCAAATTTTTATTTCTGGCTGCTATGTTCAATAACATCATGTAGAAAACCATTACAGTCATGTGTGGAGTCTTCCATAAAACAATGAGAGCCTACATCCTGAAACTTGTCACCACATACAATAATCTCTGTGGTGAACTGCAGAGTATGATACGACTGTGTAAGGCACCACCTGGTGCCATCCCTCCCAATCCCATACCTTCTAGGGGTATCTTTCAGCTGGAGTTTCTCCCTTTTTTGCCAACAAGGGGTACCATCCAAACCTGTCTGTGGTCCCTGACCAAGACTTCACTTCTCTGTGGGCTCATGACTATGTTGTCAAGCTCTCTGCCCTCCATGACTTCCTCTGCTCCAAGATGTCCACTGCTCAGCAGTGCTACCAGGGTCCAGCAGATGCCAAATGCATACCTCTGCCTGGGTTTAAGGTCAGAGAACAGGCCTATGTCAAAGCCAAGTACTTCCACTCCACTCATCCCTCAGAAAAACTCTCTGAGAAGTACTTAGGTCCATTCACCATCTTGGCCAGGCTGGGTATGCACTCTGTCACTCTAAAGTTCCCTGACTCTATGTGCTCAGTCCACCCAGTCTTCCATATTTTGCAACTGGAAACCACAGTGGCTAATCCCTTCCCTAATCAACAACAACCTCCACCCCTGCCAGTTGACATCAATGGTGACCTTGAGTACAAAGTATTGGAGATAATAGACTCTAAGGTGGACTGCCATTGCCACCACGTCAACTGTTGTACCTAGTCTGCTGGGCTGGTTACAAGAACACTGATGAAGAAACATCTTGGTTGCTTGCAACTGAGTTGGATCACACCTCTGACATTGTCTCCACTTTCCATGAATGGTATCCACATAAACCTGGCCTGTATCAACCCCCACCATAGTACTCTGCCCAAGTAACCCTCCCCCATGGACCAACTCCACCCCTTCCAAAACTCCCCTAAGTACCTTCAAGTATTCTCTGACTGTCCACCTCATTTCTCAGAATCAAAGAAAAAATACAAGTCAAAAAAAAAAAAAAAAAAAAAATAGAGAAAAAGAAAATCTACACTACTCCTCCATTTCCTGTCCTTCACTGCCATCTTGCTCTCCTCTGACCTCCTCCTCTTCCTCATTGTCCCCCTCCACACCCTCATCCACCTCTTCTATTTTGTCCTCTGCCACCTCTGACTGTGGCCTCTCCCAGCCTCTGCCTGCATGCTCAAACTCAGCCACCCTGGCCTCACATGCATCCTCTCTCCTCCTCATTTCTGCCCACTCTGCCCATGCATGGTACAGCCCAAACTTGTCAGCTGTATGTTCTGCAGCCTCCACCATCTGCTCTGCCACCTCCACCATCCTCTTGAACACCATTGTGGCCCTCTTGTGGGCCTCTGCATACCTCTCCACAGCCTGCAGCTGCCACTCCTGCTCCCACTCTGCCCACCACAAGGTTTCAGCCCTTGAGGGGCCCTCATGTGCCATCATCAGTTCCTCCTCCTTGCCTGCCTCATGCTCATCATCTGCTTCCTCTGTCTCCACCACCTTCTCCTTCCCTTTTCCTCACATCTGTTTCTTCTTCTCCCCTTGGGAGCTCCCTGTCCCCACTCTCTTCTGTGATGGCCCTGCCACCTCCTCCTCCCATGCCCAACTACAAATCTTTTTCTTGTTCTGGCAGGGCATGCAGGCCCTTGCCTTGCCTTGCCCTGCCTCACACAGCCCCATGGTCTTACTGGCTATACACCACTTGCAGGGGTGCCTCCTGCTTGTGGTGACCACCACAGAGGCCCCTGGGACTCTCTGGGCAGTGGTGGCATTGTAGATGGTACCACATAACCTGTAAAAAATAAACTACAAGTCAGCTCCACCTGACTCACAGTGGTCTGCTACACACCTTTGGGCAGCCTTGTTCTGCCTGGCCTGGGCCCTCTCTTCCAATGCCCTCTGCCACTCTCTCTCAGCCTCCTCCTCCACCACCTTCTGTCTTGCAGCCACTTCCTCTGCCACCTTCTTCCTCCAAGCCTCTTCCTGCTCCCTCTGCCTGTGCTCTGCCTCCAGTTGCTCCTCCTCTGCCCTCTGCTGCTTGGCCTCCTCACACTTGGCCTTGTGCTCCCTCTCCCTCCACTCAGTCTCCTCTCATTGGTGTGCCTTCTCTGTGGACTTCTCCCACTCAGTGTCAGTGGAGTCATCAGTGAGGACAACTAGGTATTCATCTGCAACTTGGGAGTAGTTGCAGACATGGCCAGGGGTTGGCTGGGGGGTTTTACTCTGATGCTGAGCAGACATGGTGATGGGGAAAAATATGAAGGTTCAGTGCCCTAACACATGTTTTTAAGCAGTTCTTCAAACTCTGACAGAGCTCTGCTGTGGCTCAGTCTATTGTCCTCAAGGCATCAAAACAGTTTCAAATAATCAACTCATGTTGATGTCATTCTGTACATGCAGCCTTCAGGGGTTCAGGCCCTAAGGGGGGGGGGGCACTGTCATGACTGTATGTTTATCCTAGGTCTCCACTCACTCCACACCCTACTCCACCAGCCATTCCACTCACTCCACACCAACTCTGCTGGTCCTCTGTCATTTGCAAGTCTTCTCCACTCTGGCTACTGTCAGACTTGGTACCAGCCTTCTGTCAGACTGCACAGACCGCTTTCCAGTGGGTCACATGACTCTTGCCAGTCCAGCCTTCAGACTTCTCCTTGACAGTGCACAGTCAGGTACTCTGCAGTGCATGCACCTTGTGGTTCAGCACCTGGACTGTTTCCTTTTTTGTTTGTTCTATGTTACCCATTGTATGTTCTCCATCTCCCCTTCATTCATCATCCAGGCAGTTTTCACTTGAAAATTTACAGGTCTCCATATGTCAGTTCCAATTCCAGTTACTGTACCTCTGTGGTAGTATAAAAGCCTGTACAGTACTCTGCTGTTCTTCAGTACAAATATCACCTAAGTTCCTACTCTGTATCTCTCTGTCTTCTGTCTGTCAGAATTAACTCTGATCTTCTGTCTGGTCTCTTCCTCTGAAATATGAGGGCTGAGATCATGCAAGGGGGTAGTGCATGAGCTAAACCCAATGCCCTCACTCTGCTCTGCTTCTGTCTCAGTGGACTTCATTCCTGCCAATCCTCCACTTGTTGGAGTTCTGTTTGACTGTGTCAGACTTGCTCCCAAACCTCTCCCCAGACCTTGTTTCATGTCAGGGTTGGTTGGAGTAGGCCTGGACTTGACACTGTCATTCTTCCAAAATTGCAACAGCTACAGTATAAGCTACTGTTCTCCATTCTCCCTGATTGCATCCATGATGAGTATGATGCACATCTTGCCCTCTTATTGCAAGATACAGCAGAAGATGCTCCCCCTTCATCCTCTCTTCCAACAGAGTCTCATTCATGAAGTTTTATTTGCTTCACTGAGAGGACAGTTGGGGGGGGGGAAGTTGCAATCCCCCATGCTCCTGTCACCCCACAGACCCCCAAAGCCTTGACCCCTTTTGATACCCAACACCTGCCATCCCCTTTTGGATGTACTATATTGGCATCAGATCAGTGCTGCCTCTCTGTCATCCCACCTTGGCCTAGAAGCAATTCCTTTGAGATGTGACATGCACAGCCTCCCCCTAATGTGATTCCAGTGTGCTGTCACACACCAAAGGTGTTGTGGACGTGGTTACAGCTGACTCTGCCTAACTTGTCAACAAGTCACATGCCATGCCATGCAGATGAAGACTAAAGCCCTCATGCATAGAAAGACTGCTGGATGTGAGCAGCCATCCTTCACACAAGAATGAGTCATCAATGCTAGAGAGAAAAGAGGAAGCAAGTCAAGCACCCATCAAAGGTTTTTAGCACTCATGTACAGCATTCTGGTTTTCATCATATCTCCACCATTTCCAAAGATATCAACTCCATTCTCACACTTGCCTAAAGTGCTCAGCCACACAGTTCTGCCTTCCAAGTTTGGAAAGGATCCTCACACCCTACACATTTCTACAGCACTCCATCCATCAGACACTCATTTCACTAAGTCCATCAGATATGGCCACCTCTTCATCAATCATCTTTCTTGTCTCCTTTGCCAGAGACAGTGACTATGTATATCTGCCAGGTGTTCCCACCAGCATCCATCCTGAAGCCCCCTGGTTCATTCCATCATCATCAGCCCCATCTGGTCAGCATGTTCTCCTTGTCAGCATGACTTCCAGAAGGATATTCTTTGGTCACCTCAGGTCTGTCACTCAGTTACAAAGGTCTTATGTGGTCATTTCAGTCTCCCCACTTGATGAAGCATATGGATCCTTCCTCCCTGCTCCCTGCACCATCTTTATTCCAATCTCATCCATCATTCTCCCCATGTTGCAACAGCTGCAGTATAATCTACTGTTCTCCAGCCTCCCTGATCACATCCATGATGAGTATGACATGCATCTTGCTTTCTTACTGCAAGACCCAGCAGAAGATGTCCCCCCTTCTCTCTCTCCTCCATCAGAGCCCCATTCATGAAGCTTTTATTAACTTCACTGAGAGGATGAATGGGTGGGAGATGTGATCACCTATGCTCCTGTTGCCCCACAGACCCCCAACACCCTAGTCCTTTGACACCTGACTCATGCCATCCTTTTCTGGAATTAATACTTCCCCATCTGGAAACACTGTCCATCTGTCATCCCATCTTTGGATCTAGTGATGTCTCCACTGAGATCTGACATGCATTGCCACCTCCTAATGTGATACCAGCATGCTTACTCAGGTTCTGGCACTCTTTGACTCATACTGTGATATTTTGACTGTCCTTGACTCATTGTTATCAATACTTACTCATCATGATTACTCATTTACCTACAGTCCTTACTCATTACTTACCAAGTGTTTGTGCCTTGTTTGTCATAGGCTGCACCCCTCCCACAGTATATAAACCCCCTGTACTTAGCTACAAACAAGCAATCAAGAAGTCACTGAGGAATCAGTTCAGTTCATCCCAGTCCTAAATTGTTGTTGACAGTTGAGGCTCATTCAGAAGAGTCTATCTGTCATCATTCATATTCTTGGTAGCTGAGGCTCCATCAAGGGTCTATCTACCTTCATTTATCATCTGAAGTGTCATCTGTGCTTAGTCAGCACATTTGATTAGACATCCCTCCACTCCTGCATAACTTGTCATTGACTTGCACCAGGAGTCCTTTCTGCTGAATACCTTTGCTCTGTTCAGCATCCCCCATCAAGTCTTCATTCATTCATCTACTCCTGCATAACTCAACATCAACTTGTGCTAGGAGCACATCCCATCAAAGATCATTACTCTACTCAGCATCCCCCTCTCAGTCATCCCTCTTTTTTCTTCTCCTGCATAACTTGTCATTGACTCATGCTAGGAGCACCTGCCATTGAAACTCCCCCCATTTTAGATGTTTCTGTCCTCCAGGTTCTGTGGAGGTAAACCACCACTTGCTTCTATTTGTCTTTGGTGTTGGTTTTGGTCAGTTCAAACCACCTTTCCACACTTTGACTCACCTATTGCAAATACTTACCAAGCTTGTGACTTTACTTACTGATTATTTGCTTTGTGGCTTACTTATCCTTATCAATGCTCATCAATACTTTTAAGTCAATTACCCACCACTTACATTCCTTACTTATCAGTTACCAATCACTTACCAAGTGTTTACACCTTGTTTTCCATAGGCAATGCCCCTGTACTGTATATAAATCACTCTACTTAGATAGAGAAAAAGAGACATCAGAGAGCCCTCTTGCTTGCATTTCATTGTGCCTCAGTAATTTATTCATCAGCTTCATTAGTTGAGACTTTATTAAGGGTCTAACTATCATCTACTTCACCTATTGTCATCTATCATCAATATACTTCCTTCACTCCAAGTCCTCCCTGAGCTCAGAATAGCTTAGGACATCAAATTAAGTCATCATCCATCCTTCTGTAGGCTGACAGCAGTCTACCCCATTGCATCCTCTCACATTCTTGCTCCCTCTTTGTCAGGAGCACCCCCAACCCTCAGCACTCATCTTCAAGTGTTGTAACTTGCAAAAACCCACCTGAACAAGAGCTTCCACCATCTAGGTACTGCATAGGCACACCACCACTCACTTTCTTTGTCTTTTGTGTTGGTTTTGGTTGGTTTACACCACTGAACCTCACTTTGACTCACACCAGCCTCAGAGTGCACACAGAGGGAAGCCAGTCTGGGGTTGGATCTACCTCCCTTGGTCTCAGTTTATGTGCTGTACCCTTATGCAAGCTGGGAAGAGGTCCAGGACAGGGGATGAGGATAGACCAAGGCTTGGCCTTAGCTATTGAGTAGACTCAGATCCCTAAAGCTACCTTTCCCGTCACTTCCAACGAACCCCTGATGACACACAAAAAGAATTCCCCAACTCCAGAAGCTGCCAACCTGGCTATGACAGGACTACACACGACAGAGATCCTGCTTGTATGCAGAAGCAACACTCCAACACCAGGAGATGTCAACCTGACTATGGCAGGACTATGCGAGATGGATATCCCTTCCATACCGGCACCTACGCATATACCCACTCAGCCTCATCCCGGTGCGCCCTCGTCGTCTTTCCCACCGCAACAGCTTCTCCAAGCCTCATCTGACGACATCGAGGATGACAAACGGGAGGAACTTGGAGTGACTGACATCACGAGCTCCATCGCAAACTCAGACTCGGAATCAACCACTTCTAAGTCGCTTAATAGCACAAATGTCAACTCAAACTCAATACCAACGCGGCAGCTTGAACGAGAGCATGTGAAAACCATATACTCACCTATGCGGCGTGGCACGAAGCAGAGTATTGACGGGAATTGGGAGGCCGCAGGCGAGGGGAATAGGGAAGAAGATGGTAAGTGAGGTTGAGCTGCTACTGCATCTATGACAAGTATTTCGAGCTCCACAACGTCAATGGCAAAGATGACAACGACGGCGGAGGCTGAGATGATGTCTAGAGCAGGTGGAGGTAAGACGGCTGGAACCCCCCACCTCACCCAATTGCGCGAAGCACATAGACGGCTGGGGATTGCAAAACGCGAGTGCCATCATGTCGGGCGGTTCTGGGTCCACTATCAGGAGAAGTGAAACTACGTTAGTATGTGGTTATCATTGAGACCTGAATCTGCTTTGCTTGAACAGAGACACATGAAGCGGATTGTGGCGAGAGTGGTTGGAACTTCCATGCTGGTAAAGAGACATGGACGATGGAAACAACCAGTCAGTCACAACTCTGCGCACCCGCACATCGGCGCGGAACGCGAATGGTATGTGTTTTGTCATGTGTGTCACCGCCGCTAGTTTACCTGTCCTCGTATTACTCGAACTCGTCCCCGAATCCATCGATTTCTGGTTCTAGTTTCAGCGGTGGTAGCTTGGCATAGGTGAGAAGGAAAGGGCAAGAAGAGAGGGGACAACAAACCTGGGAAGCTGGTGTTGCCCAAGTTGGGCCATGGAGAATCATAGTTCCGCCGTCAGCAGGTGTGTGTTTCGGCAAGACCCCCCAAATGATAGTTGCTGCGGAAACTAAAAACTGTCCAGACCGAAGGCAGATCTGGTTGGCTGGGAAAGTCTGTCCTGTAGTTACCAGATGACAGATGTAATTAAGACCTAAGGGGTTCCTTGAGCATTGACCAAACATAATCAACAGACCTGCGTTGCAATGTTGTTGGAGACATATTCCCTCCTGTGTTTCCTTTCCTTTGGTGTGATGTTTACCCACATACATTGCTTAGACTGCACAAGTTATGTTGGAGTGTCTCAGATCATCCTACTGTCACTTGGAGGAGAGGAATATGGTTGGAAACTTTGAAGCTAAGATCTGAAGGTCAACTCAAATGAGTTCACTGGGCAACCTGTGCTACAGAGATGTCCCTACACATGTGAAGTGCACATAGCTGTGATCATGACACTACCAGTGGCATCATCAGGGAATGTGAGGAAGCAACATGTAAGTAAAAGAAAGGCACAGAAGGGTGTAGAACCATGTGCCAAGATTTGATTAGATAACTATGACAAGATAAGATGAGATGTGAGTAGGCAAGGTATGGCCATTACACAAAGTTGGTGCAGGTGAGAAAGACTGTGGTAAGAAGAAAGGGGCTGACATTGCCCAAGTCAAGACATGGAGAATGATGGGTGGAATATAAGCAAATAGTGTGTGCTCAGCTCGCTTCATTGACATCATCATGTGGGATCAGGACCAGTGCAAGTAATGACTCACAGCAACCAGTCATGACAAGACTGTGGACCTGTGCCAACACTGCAACCTCTGCAGATACATTAATGACATAAGAACAACATCAAAACCACACCCCTTCACATTCACAATGCCCTACATGCCAGTGAATGTAGTGAATTCAGTGCTGATCTACCAGTATTGAGAGGAAATGGCACAGGAAGTAAAAAAAGAGCTGTATATGTATGATGAGGTGGTGGAGGGATATAAGGACATCACCTGGATAAGGATCATAACCAGGGGAATGTCACAGGACTCAAGGGACATTTGACAGCATGCAATAACTGTCTGGGGAAAATCATTGTAGGCAGATTGTACTGTGAGTTTATAGATGCCAAATATGGGGCAGAGGGGTGGGAGAGAATAGTGGCTGGGGGCATAGTGACCAGTTAAGGGGTCATCCTGGTGAATTGTTATGCAAGTGTTTGGATGCAATTTGTACTTATCACCAGGTAGCACATCATAAAGTATGATTGAAAGTGGGGTGTGATAACATGTAGTATGTGATACCATGTCAGAGGACATGGGTGTAACTAGCAGGGTAAATGATCATTGAACAAATATGGGGTATGAACTAATTTATGGTAGTATGACAGCAGATATACCCAACATCAAAATACAATTTGAACCATCATTCACTGGGTGAAATAGAAACATTTGAACCATTCTTTGCCATGGGCCATCTGACTTAAGTCCAACTCTATGCAACAGCCTCTGGGGATGACTACTTTGGTCCCAATTGAGTAAAATGGTCTCCTAAGTTTTGGAGGGATCCAAAGTAGTAGTTGTCCCTTTGGGCCTTTGATCCAGCCATCATCATGTAGCTTGACTGCTTCACCCAGACTAGCCTTCTGTTGCATGAACCCATCAACAAGTGGATTAGTATTAAGCAGAGCATGTGAGTGGTCAAATGAAAAGCAAATGGGATCTCCCATGACACCTGCACTTCTTGTTAAATGAAATAACAATAGATAGAAGGTGGAGGTACATACCATCTGGAGGAGGGTATGGATGAAATATGCAGGAGGGGTGGGATGCAACCATTGTGAGCATCTCATTCTCCCAGACCCTCACAGTCTTGTCATCTGAGCCTGAGACAATCCTCTTACCATCAGAGAAGAATGCAACTGAATTGACTTCATTTGTATGGCCCTCAAGAGGGCTGCCAATCTGCACACCTCCCTCAACATCCCAGACCCCCACACTGTTGTCCCCTGAGCCTGAGACAATCCTCTTCCCATCAGGGGAGAATTCAACTGAATTGACAGAAGAAGTATGACCCTCAAGTGGGCTGCCAATCTGCACACCTCCCTCAACATCCCAGACCCTCACAGTGTTATCCCCTGAGCCTGAGATAATCCTCTTCCCATCAGGGGAGAATGCAACTGAATTGACAGAAGAAGTATGGCCCTCAAGAGGGCTGCCAACCTGCACACCTCCCTCAACATCCCAGACCCTCACAGTCCTGTCCATTGAGCCTGAGACAATCCTCTTCCCATCAGGGGAGAATGCAACTGAATTGACAGAAGAAGTATGGCCCGCAAGAGGGCTGCCAATCTGCACACCTCCCTTAACATCCCAGACCCTCACATTGTAGTCATCTGAACCTGAGACAATCCTCTTCCCATCAGGAGAGAATGCAACTGAATTGACTTCATCTGTATGGCCCTCAAGAGGGCTGCCAATCAGCACACCTCCCTCAACATCCCAGACCCTCACAGTGTTGTCCCTTGAGCCTGAGGCAATCTTCTTCCCATCAGGGGAGAATGCAACTGATTCAACTGCATGTGTATGGCCCTCAAGAGGGCCACCAACCTGCACACCTCCCTCAACATCCCACACCCTCACAGTCTTGTCCCCTGAGCCTGAGACAATCCTCTTCCCATCAGGGGAGAATGCAACTGAATCAACCCAATCAGTATGGCCCTCAAGAGGGCTGCCAATCTGCACACTTCCCTCAACATCCCACACCCTCACAGTCTTGTCCCAAGAGCCTGAGACAATCTTCTTCCCATCACAGGAGGATGCAACTGAATTCACTTGAGATGCATGGCCTTGCAGTAGCTGCTGTTCAACTGGCCACCCTTTCAACCCTCCTGCAGCAACTCTAGCCAGCCTTGGGAATTTTGGCAAGAGCATCATTGATAACAATGCATTGGAAGGAATAAATGGCAATGCAGAAGCATAAAGGTGTGGAGTGCTGTGCACTATCACACTGCCAAAATTCCAAATCAACTTGATTCCATCTTCTACCAATGCCAATAGATACTTGAAGTCAAAGTCATCTTGTCCCTTCATCATTGTGTCAGATGTCATCAAACTCTGTACAAAAGGTACTCACCCATAGCCCTGTTGCAACAGTACTAAGAGCATCTACACCCTTTCCAACCATCCCAAGAAGACTTAATACCTCCAGCCAGAATAGAATCTTTTCACTTCCAACAATAGCCTTCACCAATCCCACAAGTTCCATGTCAAATGGTGTCTTTTGCAAATGCTGGCCCCAGAATCGACTGGAGTAGGTAAGATGGTGTGGGATGTTCTCCTTGATTCTCTTTGACAGATCAGGAACTTCAGCATTGGCCAGGTATGAGCTTTCCAATCCACAGATGTTGAATTGAAGCTCATCACAGAGAATCTGCAATATGGCAAAGGCCATGTCTCTTCCATCAGATGTGTTGATGCAGTAGACACCACTCCATGAACAATCCATCAGGAAGTCATAGAATGATGCATGCAGTGGTCAGACAGGACAAGACCTATCTGTAATGCCACCCAATAGCAGGGCCATGCATTCAAGAATTGCATTTATGTCCTAATGGTCCTCCTTATCAGGGAAGTGACTGCGCATCTTATTCAAAGTATTCAAGTGCAGAGGTTTATGTGCTGCCATGATCTGCTGCATCACCAAACAGAACCATGTTAGCATGGTCCCATCCTTGGGGATACTGTCTTCAAGAATTGCTCAGTACATGGCATCCAGCAATCCACCTCCTGAACGAAGATTCAGGACATTGTCGATGCTTTGGGTCTCGGCAAGTGCAGTATTCGCACCAGTCACAGGGTCAACACCCCCTATGCCCCTATCCATCACAGGACCTGCGCTAAGGAATGTCAGCAACATGGAAGCCATATTGCCGAAATTTGGTTGATCTGTCGACCTCTGAGTCTGGCCACTGAGCTTTCTTAGAGTTGTCGAGAGATTGAGACAGCATAGATCACATACTTTGTAGTTCAGAGCGAGCTCAAATTGTCCTCTGTGTTCATAAATCGCCTGATCAACATGAATGTCAGTGCTCCCTCCCATGATTGGACTTGGGGAACTTGGCTCTGATAGATGAGCAAAAACCCACATTGGCCCCTGAGAGGCACTGCCTATCGCTTGAATATCAGATAGATGAGTGGAACTCACCATGGAGGGGTGAGCACACTCAAACAGATCACAACAACGACAGAATGTGGACAGGCATGTGGATTTGAGCAATCAAGCATAGATGATGGACAGAGAGAGAGAAAGGGAAGAAAGAGATATGATCCCTCCATGATGCAGACAGCACCAGTATATATATACCCCCAGTGTCCAAACAACACAACACAGCAAGAGGGATCCACATGCCCAGATGAGAGCATGATAGGAGATGTGATAGTGTGATGTGCTAGCAGCAGCATCGACAGCATGAGTGGCATGTTAGTGGTGAGTGGTATGCTTACACCCTCCCAACCCATAAAAAAGAGCAAAAGCAGGGAGGGCTGCAAGCAAGTTCAGTACTCTTCGTCAATGTTCTTTCCACCATCATCAACTCTTTCCTTGTCAGCTCATCCTCATCTGATCAGCCACCCTATGGCAGGTGCTCCCATTCCCAAACATCCAAGGCCTCACAGTCTTCCAGATCCTTCTTAGTCAGCCATTCATCATCCTCTGGCCCATACCCTAACCACTGCACCAAGTATTTCTTTGTCCTCCCAGCTTTCTTCTCATCCAATATCCATTTGATCAAATTTTCCAGCTGTCTGTTCACCATGACCACAGGGCCCAGGTGATGCAGTTCACATGAAGGGAAAAGCGCAGTATTGTTGGGCACAAATGCACACAGCTGACTGGCATGGAATGTGGTGCATGT